GGAATTGCAGAAATAATTTGGTCTTTAACAGAACAATAAATATTCATTTTTTCAGGTTATCTTTAGAGCCAATGCGTTGATCCGTATGTGGTCACTACTCATTCTGACGGAGGCCAGAGAGCGTTTGGTTACTGAATCTACCCGATGGGAGATGGTAGCACGGGATATTTTCAACCGGTTTGGATGGCGGTCATGTAATAGAATAAACATTTAGTGTTCCTATCTTTTTTTTGCCAGCCGGTTGTGGCTTTTTTAATATTGTTTTGCTCTCCATGAGCCTTCTTTTGGTTTTTGTTCGAGACTTGAAAACTTGTGTCGGATCTTTTGCTTATTAATAATCATAGCCGTATGCATGGTTTTGATGTAAAGGCTGGGGCGAACCCTTCTTTTTGAAAAAAGAGCTTTCGCATGAAGCTGTTGTCGTGGCAGCATTTTCACCTGCCATGGCAGCTGTTTCGTTGCTCGCTTCCATCTGCACGCACCATGTAGTCCACGATGAAGTCACAATGATTTTCGTCGATCATGTTCTAGTCCCAAATCCACGTGCAACCTTCCTCAAAGACCACGTCGAGATGAGCACGCACTTTGCCACTGGGTCTAGAGGTCGTGTATTCCCATCGGGCTCGTCCTTGAGAATAACTACCGGTGTGCTGTGTGCCTTGAGGTTCTTCAGGTTTGGCCTCGTGACCATTGCGTGAGCCCTTCAGCCATACACTCACAAAAAGTGTACATCCGGTTTCTAGTTGTACGTACCATGCCTTGAAGAGAGTTCTTCCTTCCACGTTCTAGGCATACAACCTGATGAGGATGAAGACGACAACCTTCCCCCAAATTCAGTCAGCATGCTCATTGCGCTGAGAATGATTCGTGCCATGCCGAGCACCATCTGGTTTTGCCGCTCTCGCTCCCTCGTTCTGTTGTGGTAAGTAGGGTGCGTTGAGGTGGTGTTGAACATTGTTGTCCGCACGGTACGCGGCGAACTCCGAGGAGGTGAACCCGTCATCATAATCCAGTTGGAAGGTGCGTTGGCTGCCACCTCCACAGGGCCGGTCCTGAGATTTTGGAGGCCCAGGGTGAAACTAAAACTCGGGACCCTTAATATAGACATCATCGTCCATCATTTTAGCCTCATCCTTAATTCCTTCCACTTGTTCATGTTATTAATATGCTTGGCACCATTTTCATGCTTTTAAGCTTCTCACTAATATGCCTCCAATGTCCTAATCCATCATGTGCCAAGGAACTCTGACTCCTCCTAGTGCTAGACTTGAAGATCTTACAAGAGAAGAAGAAAAACTTTGTCGACATCTTTTGAATAAACTAGCCACTTCATATCATGTTGCTCTCGATTGCTTAATTATCTATGACAATGAGCCATAGGAAAAATGTCTGCCTGCTTCCTCTACGTATGCTATTCCTTTTTTTCCTCTCTCATAGGCCCTTTCTCAATTAAGATGTCCCTTATTTTATTATCAAGATTATCCTAATTTCTTGGATCATAAAAATCAGGAGTATGAACAAGATGTTCATCAACACTGGCAGATTGTGCATGTGCATCCAATGAATTGGCAACATACCTACATACCTACTGGCAGATTACTTTATTTTCTTCTTGTTGATCATATTCCGAATTCCCAATAGTTTGCTCCTCTTCCTCTATGGCAACATCGACCACTCATCATCTTGGTTCATCGAAGCAGCGGAAGCACCATTATTACTCTTAAGAAATTTGTGCATGTCACCATTTTGTGATTGTACCAATTAATCACTGACCTTTTCCGTTTTCCTTTTATCGCTACCCGATGTATACGTCGAACGACGTGATAACACACAATAATGAAAACAAAACAAAATTGTTGTATCAGTTGTTGAACGGTATTGGCTATGCATCAAGGAACGGCAATACGATATACATGACCGCTTGATAAGCGTCACTCCGTGTTCCTAATTACATATGGGGCCGCTGGAATTGAAATCAGCTATGAACTAGATTAGACTTGTTCCTAACTGCGTATACAGACTTATACATGGGGACCCTAGGAACTGAAATCAAAGGCGAACTAGATTGGACGCGTTCCTTGCCTATACGGAATTACAGATGGAGGCCCTAGGAACTGAAATTAGGGGCGAATTAAGAAGGAAATCACCAATCAGGAGGGAGGCGGCGGCACCGGCAGTACCAGTAGGAACGTCGGGCGTCGGCGGCCTAGGGCTGAACCCGTCCTCGACGAACGGGCAGGAACTGCCGTCGTAGAGCGGGTAGCTCTCGTCGCACACCCGCCTCCCGTCGTTGACGTTGCACGGCGGCTGCACGGCTCCTCTTGCGGCGTCCCCCATTGCTGCTTCTTGCATGGAGAAATTGGCAGGCCAGCGGGTTCTCTCCGCTTCCACTTTCTCCATTAATGGCGCTTGGGAAGCGGTAGCATCCCACTGTGATGCGGCCTTTTCTTTGCTATAAGGCTCCCACCTCCACCTTGCACCAACATCGAATCATTAGCTCCGTCTCCAGCAACTCGTGTGGCCGAAGCCACCGCCGATCGCGGGGGCGGCACATCGTCGGCGGCTAAGGGGAGGCGGAGGAATGGCTGGATGGAGCGGAGGGCGAAGTGGTAGAGGAGGAGGGCGGGCGCCAATGAGAAGAGGAGGAGGAGGTGGCGGCCGGAGGAGCTCATCTTCCTCTCCATTGCTGCGAGCGTCTGCGATGCGAGGGGGAAGTGCTTGGGTTGGTTCTTTCGTTCATAAGTACGAGCGACTGAGATTGGCCCCTTGATTATAGTATTTGATTTGATTATACATACATTGTGCAGCATGGTGGGGGATTAGTGGTGGCAAGTGGAAGCGTGTCCGCCTGCATGTGTTGCATAAATATGCACGTAGTAGTAGTACGTGCTAGCTACTGCTGCTCCATGTAGCTTCCTGCTAGTAGTTGTTGGAATGCATAATAGCTTCTAGGTTTATCTTATTATTAAAGAGACTAATATACTATAGTAATATGATGTGAAAAAATATGCAATGATGAATCCAATGGTATTGATTTGGTGATGTGTATATTAATATATTTTTCTACAAACTTGTTGTAACTGTATAAATTTGAGTCCATCTGTTTTTATTTACTTTGCATATTTTATAGAAAACTTGTAAACTACGAGCAAGTTTATAGAAGAGTTAACGAGTCCTAAGCAAAGAGCAACATAGACTTGTACCAGAGCTTGGGTCATCTTCCCTCAAAAGACTAACCTGGTAGGAGGGGATACTCCCACCCTTTCTAAATCGATGTGGAACTAAATCCAACAATATATATTTGTGCTATATAAATCTTCATATTGTTCTATATAAACTTGGTCAAACTTTGACTCAAGACAACAAATCTAATACTTCCTCCAAACCATATTAATCCACGTTGTACAAATTGTACTAAAGCAGCGTCAGTTAATATGCATCGGTGGGAGTACGTAAAGTAAAAAGATACAGTATAATTCTTGAAAGTGTCCTTCGGCTTTGAGGTCAAATAAGCTCGGTGAACAGTAAAATAAAAAAAATCTATTTTTCTGACAAAAGTTTCAAGTGCTTGCAAAATTTTGTCATGAAATCACATTCATGTAAGGTGTGGCAAAAAATAATATGTTTTTAAAAGTAGCATTTTCAAAGTATCGATTTTTTTACCACGCCTTCTAGACATGTGATGCCATGCAATTTTTTTACACCCCCTTGAATTTTTTGTCAATGCTTGTCCAAATAATTTCAGATTTTTTGATTTTTTTTATTTAACTGTTCGAGCTCAGACCGAGAAACTCTGCGTCAGCGTATAATTCTAACTAGTTAATTCCCACAAAAAAATCTGTCTAGTTAATCCGACGGGTTATTGTCTATCTGACCACTGACGACAATCAGTGTGTGTTTGGTTCAGGTCATGGGGTGGAATGTAACGGGTCCATTACGTTCCTAGGCCTGATTCCTGTGTTCGGTAGCAGCAAAGAATTGGAACCTACCCATTCCCTCGAACGGAATATTCGCGTGAGATGCGGAATGCGCTCGTACCTCCGATTTGGAGGAACAACGCGGAACGCCTCGCATCTCCTGCCTCCCCCACGACTCCCTCGTCTCCGAACCCAATCCCAGCGCCACCACTCCCTGTCGTTCTGCGCCCTTTCTTCTCCCCTTCTCCGGTGTCGCGTCTCCTCGTCTCTCACTCTCCGGCGACGCCTCTCTCTATCGCCTACCAGAGCTCCGCCGGCCCTCCGGCCTCCTTGCCCAAGCTCCGCGCCGGATCGCTAGCTGCAAGCGGCGACAACAATGATTGATTTCATTCGTAGCTATCACAACAAGATTTGGGAACCGTTTAGGGATGGATGCCTTGTATTATCCCTAATCACAACACCTTGGTACCTTTTCCTAATCACGGCAAGCTCGATTTTCAACATGTAGATGGATGACTTGTATTCTGACAGTTTTTGGACATGTAGATACGTGTATTTTTACAGATTTTTGACATGTAGATACTTGTATTTTGACAGATTCTTAACATGTGTATGACTGAATAACTAGCATTTATTTGACAATTTTTTATTACATGTATCCTGTTTGTATTTGATGCCAAAGTCAATAATTTGAGTGGTGTAATCAACAAATTCATTCTATTCTATCTCAGAAACTAAACACCGAAATGTAACCATTTCATTCTTGTGAATTGCCCCTATCAAACACAAGGACGAAATCAACCCATTCTAGTGAAATGGAACCATGACATTTCATTCCACTTCGTTCTTGAACCAAACACACCCTGAATAATTCAAATCGAGGGTTGGAGAGAGGGGGCACCTTCTCCCGAAAGGAAGCCACTCTCGAATCTCCATTTTCCTTTCCCTCCATCGTCGTGCGCTCCTCAACTCAAACACCACAAAGCCCCCTTCAATCCCCTCTTCCTGTTTCTCCCTCTCCCCGCCGCCTCCCGAAACCCCCGGCCCCCGCGCCGCCGCCCCAATCGCTTTGCCCCGCGATCGATGGCGACCGGCTCCGGCGCCGGGCGGGCGTCGGTGCGGCCCGTCGACAGGCCCCGCGGCACCAGCACCGCGCGCTCCAAGTCGGTCGCCCCGCGCCGCCCGCCCTCCCCGGCCCGCGCGCGCCCTGCCGCCGACCACGACCCCACCGCCGGTAAGCCTCGGCTCCCTCCCCCGCGGATGCATCGGCGTAAGCGCGCGCGCGTGGCTAGGGGCTTCACTGTTCCTTTTGCCGGTTTCTGAGGGATGTTTTCGTTGCGACATCGAACTGTCTTTATTTACTTAGAGCTGAAATGGGACGGGGATGATATTTGCAACGGAGTGACGCGCATCGCAGCATCAGCGGCTCGCTATTTTGCCAATAAACCGCTGTTGCCTGAATATATGTGCTTATTCCCGTCAGGTTTTCAGCCAGTATTCTACGGTAACAATATGATAAATACAGTGATGGCGCCGCAGCATTAGCATTATCGTTTGCAAATTTTAAGGGGTTTTTGGGTACTAACTATGTTTCGAGAACTCATAAAGGATGTGTTTCTCAGACTTGTGCAGAGTAAGAGTTGCGCTAAGGATCCGGCCGAAGAACGCGGATGAATTAGCTCAGGGCGCCGACTTTGATACTTGTGTTGAGTTGCAGGCCGAGGTTTAGCCCATTCTCCATCCTATTTTTCTCTCCGCGCTTCATTATTAGCAATCATCATCACATTGGGCAAAGCTTTTCATATCGTTTGCTGGTCTTGTTGTCTGCAGTGTAAGAAACTGAAGCTCAAGAAAAATAACTGGGCTTCTGAGTCCTACCAGTTTGATGAGATATTTGGTGAAAATTCTTCACAAAAGCGTATATATGAGGTCGTCGCAAAGCCTGTAGTTGAGGCAAGTCATGTATTTCAATATCTTCTTTAACATGCATCATATAATTAATCATGAGCAACATAATATTGCAGTTGTTTATATTTGTTAATGTTTAAGTACCTGCACTAACTTTGTATAATTTGGAGCACTGATAGTAAGTTTTCAGGCTCCTTTTTTTGAAATAAAAAAGATATACATAAATCTCTTAGATACCCTATGATAGTTATTACTCCCTCTGATCCAAAATAAGTGTCGTGGTTTTAGTTCAAATTTGAACTAAAACTTATTTTGGATCGGAGGGAGTACTAGTTTTTTGTGGCTCAATGCAGATTAGTTGCTCCTTCAGTCTGGTTTGGCTTACCTTTGATGCTAAGAATTATTTTGCTAATGTTACAACGATTTGATATGTCGCTTTGTATTAGTTGCTTCTGAGTTAAAATACATGTTTTTGCTGCCAAATTAGAATTTTGTTTCTGCAGCCATGTTTTGAACTTATTACATCTCTTCATTCCATCTTTCATTGAATGTTGATGGAATCTATTTCGCCAACTGTACTAGTATTTCACAACAATTGATTGCTAGATAGTAGCTGACTTCCCAAAAAAAAACCTTGTCACTTAACAATCTACTTTTACTAATCATTTCACTCAGACGTTATTAGACATGAAGTCATCTATCTATCTTGACCTGAGAAAATATAGAATCGTAAACCTTTGCAGAGTGTATTAGAAGGATATAACGGGACAGTGATGGCTTACGGTCAAACAGGTACCGGCAAGACATACACAGTTGGTCAGCTTGGAAAAGAAGATCCTTCTGAACGTGGTATAATGGTCAGGGCGTTGGAGCATATCCTTTCTAGCATGTCTTTGGAGACTGATAGCATGGCTGTATCATATCTCCAGGTTCAATTTACGCTTACCAACCTTACTTCTCTTGTACATATTTCACCATTTCATATCAGTGGATAATTTATTTTTGCATTGATAGATAAATAGTTTTCAATTTCTAGACCATGTAAACCTTGTATGATTATTACCACACATACATTGAGTTGCATGTTTAGTTAATTGGGTTTGAATTGATTACTGATAGCATGAGTTTTGCAAACTGACCTTTTGACTTTAAAGACATCCTACAGGTAGGTGTGGCTCTTGGATCAAGAATGACCATTTATGTGATTACTATGACACATAGTCAATTTTAATAAATAATGGAATGGCATGAGTTTTGCAAGCTGACCATATGAGTTTAAAGGCATATGCGTAATAATATATTACATGAAATAGGGTATGTATAACAACATGATTTTGGCTATTTTCACTAGTTTAGCTCCTGTCTCCACCTATCAATAAGGCAAGACAAACACAAAGTATCGTGCTACAATGAATTACATGACATGAATGAGATGAACCGTTGTATACTGTGTTTTTGTACCTGATGTAGATTGTTGATAGTTGTATATCCTTGACTCCACTACAAATCTGACGTCAGATTTCTGACCATGGCAAATCGAACATTTTTTATGGCAACTTGTGTTTGTCGAGGATGGGAAGCATGGCAAATCCAATTCAGTTATTTTTTTGCCAGGAAATTGCCGTGCTCATAAATTAAATTTGCCATAAAAAACGTTCGCTTTGCTATGCTTAAAAATCTGACGTCTGATTTTTAGCATTACTGATATCCTTTTATATGATGTGTGACAGAAAGTAGGCGAACTAGTAGCAGATGTTTTGAATCCTTGATCCAGTAGCGCTTTCATTATTTTTATTTATGTTGTCATACTTATGCCTTTGTTCACTTGATTTATAGCTATACTTGGAATCTGTTCAAGATTTACTGGCCCCAGAGAAGACTAATATTCCAATAGTTGAGGATTCAAAAACCGGTGAAGTTTCATTGCCAGGTGCTGCGATAGTTGAAATCAAAGATCTTGAACATGTTTTTCAACTTCTGCAAATTGGTGAGACGAATCGTCATGCTGCTGATACGAAGATGAACACTGAGTCATCTCGCAGTCACGCTATTCTAATTGTATGTTGGTAAATCGCTGTATCATTAGTGCAAGATCTTTTTTAAGTTCTATAACTAAATGATTTTTTATGCAAATTTGTTGTTGTTTTCAGATTCATCTACAGAGAAGTTTAAAAATGAAAGAAGAAAATACTGTCTCTATCCCTAGTGACGCAGAACATACTCTTCCCGGTGATTTACCACTTGTTCTGAAAAGCAAACTATTGATTGTGGACCTTGCTGGATCAGAACGAATTGATAAATCTGGTAAAACTCACTTTTCGATCTTTATTTTTTTTATTATTAAATAGTGCAAACATCTTTATACTTCCATTGCACTCATTGTTATGATTCATCTCTCAGGAAGTGAAGGGCACATGATTGAAGAAGCCAAGTTCATTAATCTTTCGTTATCTTCTCTGGGAAAGTGCATTAATGCACTAGCAGAAAATAGTTCTCATATACCAACAAGAGATTCAAAGCTTACAAGGATGCTTCGTGATTCATTTGGAGGTGCCAATCTCTGTTATTTTCTTACTCTTTCATGACATTTTTCTTCATACTTAACAATGTTTGCTAAATCTCTGGACTGTGCACTTACATGTCTCAAGCTCAAATACCTACAACATGCCTTGTGTACTAACTAGCCGAACAAAACAAGTAGCAGATAATTATATCACATTTCTACAATTAGATACCTGGAATTGGTGCCATACCTGACCTTTATATCGAACAATGAATAGCGCGGAAAACAATGTGGATAAACATGTTAATGTAACATATCTGCTAATCAAATCATGTTAGATGTAGTTCAATGTCTTTATCTTCCTTCGGGGAGACGCAAAAGCTTTGATAGAAGGGGGAGTTATAGTATAAGCCTATGATCTAGGCCAACCCTCCCAGGCTCCCACACACTACAACCCAACAATTACACAGCATCTCACTCAGCCAGCACTCCGGCAGTAGCAACTGAACATTGGCAGTACCTGCAACTGCCTAGTCTCTAGCTCGAGCCTTGATTGTTTCCAAGTAGTTCAACGTCTTCATAAGCAGCGTCACAACTTAGAACATACCAGGCCATAATTGTCAGAATAGAAAACGAGCAGTTCAGAGTAGAGGGTTTTCCAAGGCATGAGAAGTTAATAATGTTAAATAAGTTCTTGTGAATTTGGTATTTTCTGAAACAATATCATATGGAGACTGTACTACAAGGTATGAACGGCTGGTTCATAGTTAATTAGTAGAATAATAAAATTGTGCTGGAAGCAATTGCCACAGTTTAGAATATTTTTAGGGGGTCACATTGTTACTTTCTTCTTGCCATACTATTAAGCATGCAATTTACCTGCTCGATCCTACAATTGTTTGCAGGAACTGCTAGGACTTCCCTTGTTGTGACAATAGGTCCATCTGCAAGGCATTACTCAGAAACTTCAAGCACAGTTTTGTTCGGCCAAAGAGTAAGTTCAGTTTCGCTCATATTCGCCTTTCTAACATGACATCTGCCTTTCTTTTCTAGGGAAGTTAATCTTTGATAGTTTAGGTTAGGTCAGCGTTGTCCTCCTCACTAGACATATTGTGGTTTTCTAATATTTAAATTTCAGTTAGTCACAGAGCATTATGTTTAGCCGCATACTTGGCTTACATAACACGCTTTCTTGCACATTGAGCTGGCCATCCCAATTGCTTCAATCATATAAATTGCTATAGTGAAATTAGGCGTTGTTAAATTTGGTCACAGTCTATGTTTTAAAGGCGTCCGTAAGGCGACGCCTAGGCGACGCCTAGGCGTCGAGGCGCCCCCCCAGCGCTTTGCGCTTTAGGCGCCTAGGCGTCCGCTTTAGGCGCCTAGGCGTCGCCTAGGCGTCGAAGCGCCCCCCCAGCGCCTTAAAGCAAGGCGTCGCCTTAAAAACATAGGTCACAGTGCACAGGTGCGTCATATTAGAGCCTTAGTTCATGAGATGGACTAATCCACTTCTTGTTCTTTGTTCTCTCCTCTTCAAAAACCTCCCTGGACTATTTAAGACTGGAATTTGGCGCTTGTTCAGAGAGATTGTTGTATTGCTTCATCTTGTTTCCTTTTGCTTGCACTTGTAAACTGTACAAAGTACTTCATTTGTGATTTTCAGGCTATGAAAATAGTGAACACAATAAGGTTAAAGGAGGAAGTTGATTATGAAACCCTATATAAGAAAGTTGAAGACGAGGTTGATCATCTCACATCGGACATGGAGAGGCAGCAAAAGCTCAGACAGAGGGAGAAAATGCAGTTGGAGAAAAGGTTGAAAGTGTCGGAGGCATTCTTGCATGACTTAAAAATGACCTCTACCATGCAAATAGAGGTATACTATGTTCTTTTCATTATATATATTCTTTATCTTTACTGTTTTTTTACACAGCAATTATCTACCTGAAATCCAGTGCAGGTTACTTTGATTATTATACAGCCATCTTATTTTCCTTTTCCTAAATAAACTATGACCCACTACTTCCTACAGCATATGAATTCACAATAGGGCTCTGCGTTGTTGTAGTTTCTTCCAAAAAAAAAACAGCTCTGCATTTATCTGTGCTTTCTGGAAAATGGTTGGCTGTGAACATTCAAGAACAGCCTCTTTCAGTTCAAAAGCAACTTGTTTTAGAGAGCTAAATGTAACAAGTGATTTTCTTACCCAGAATCTGGAGAAGGAAAAACATCAATTTGAATATGCAATCAAAAGATTGATGCAGGAGCTAGAAGAGAAAGAAGGCCAAAATAATGTTTTATCTGAGAAAATTGTTCATTTAGAAACATCACTAAACGAAAAGAAGGTAGCTCTTCTGTGCCACCTTGTTTCATACTATGATCGTGTACTAACATTGCGATGCAAAATTCCTTTCCAATAAGTTTGCTGATCTAACGCAAAATTTGTTGATAGTAGCAACAACAGCTTGAGAGCTTTTCAACGACGCAAATTCTTTCTGAGACGACAAAAGCCCATGAGAAGAAAGTGGGAGAATTACTGAGGCAGCTTGAGGAAGAAAAATCTCGTTCTGCTAGTATGAAGGGCCACTTTAACGTTCTAGAACAGCAACTGAGTGATGCTCAGAGTTCTGCCCAGGTATATTTTCAGAATTTAGAAATTCAGCCATGACAAGTTTTTGCTTGGATACAGTGTGCTATAATTCTCTTCCCGTCAGGGGCGGACCCAGGACAAAAACGTCAGGGTCTCCACATGTACATCAGTCCTCATCTCTTATAACTAATAATAAATATGTTTATTGATTAACTAATGTTTTACCAAATGACTAACAAGATTAGACTAGTCTTGAAAAGTTTGTTGAGCTCCCAGTACAAGACTTGTGTTTCCTGCATGAATTGAAGTGTGTTAGGAGATCTGCTGCCTTTTTCAGATCCAGCTAAGTTCAAGTTATCTTGCAATATCAATTTAAAGCTCATGCTTTTTGTTATTTAAAATGGCATACTAGACCGCGTAATTGACCCCATAGACTCTCTTGATGTGCATGCTTGGAATAACAACCACAAGAAACAATACTCCCTGCCGTGAGTCAAAGTGGTCCTTGCATGGACATTAAAATATTTTTTAAAATGGTTCAATCTTTGTAGCGACCAGACCTCAAACAGTCTGATCTCTGTGCTCCGGTGTCATCCCTGGATCAGTAATGCTGACACCACACAGTACTCGGAGGATTTATAATAGAGTAGCAATCACACACTTATTACATTGAAATGTCTCCATAGAGAACTTATTACAATAAATATGCCTTAAGGCCATCTAATAACGATACAGCGGAAGGCTTGGAAGATAAGTGAGTCCATCAACTCCAACGGCATCACTGAGTATAGAACCACGACTTAAAAACTCCTTAATCGTCGTCTGAAAAGTCTGCAACATTAACGTTGCAGCCCGAAACGGGTCAGCACATGGAATATGCTGGCAATGTAACACATAGAGAGTAATGGAATGAAACAGCTATACTATATGCATATTTGGCTGGTGGAAAGCTCTATGGTTACAGTTTTGCGTAAAGCCAATTTTTCCCTACTACAAAGGAATAAATTTAATTACTATCATGGTGGTTGTTAAACATTGAGAATGGTTGACAGCATTCTCAATCCCAATTAAGCATCATCATTAAACAAAACCCAACAAAATTAACTTAGAGTAACATGTTGAGATTCACATGATAATCCAGGTACTAGATACTCAAGATGTCCATAAGCGGGGACACGGCTAACCATGATTAGTTTATTACACTCTGCAGAGGTTTGCGCACTTTTCCCCACAAGACTCGATCGCCTCCGTTTGGTTTCTCGCACTACATGGTGTTTGAGAAGACGGATGACTGAGACATAGTCTTTCAGAAGCGCTAGCTCCTTACGATCGGGTAGACCGTACCACCTACATCCCCTACATCTGCTAGTCTACCACTGTAAGAGTTCGCACGACTTAGTCAACTATGCTAGAGCCCATAATAGCTTGTGGCTGCACACAGAAATTTCTAGTATGAATAGTCTCATGATCCCTTTGAGCCTGGGTGGCGGTCCAAAAGAAAACAGGCAAGTCCTGGAATACCCAGGTGCCTCAATCCACCCAGATGTGTGTTTAAGTTGCCACCTTAGATAAACCATTAATTAACAAACTCACATCTGTCATGGATATCACTCACCCAATCCATGTCTACTAGCATAGCATGACATAATAAGCAAACGTAGAAGTAACTCCCAAAGGTTTGATAATAAACAGGTAATAGGTACTACCTCATCTACTTCCCATCCCACAATTTAATTAGATCCTAATCATGCAATGTGTGAGGATTGATCTAATGCAATAAAACTGGGTAGTAGGAAAGGTATGATCAAAGTGTTACTTGCCTTGCTGATGATCCGCGAAACCTAGCGATTCGAAGTAACAAGCGGCGCACTCCGGGTACTCTATCGTAAACAAACAAACAAGCATATAATAAGTACTCATCTAATGCATAGGTAAAACTCAAATAAGAGATCTAACCAGAAGGTTCAACTTAAGAACTCCGGTTTGCAAAAAGAATCAAATCGAACGAAGCAACGAAAGTCAAACGGCGAAAGAAAACAACTTCGTTGTACTAATCTGAATCTAGGGCAAATTTTACAGTAGCAAAAACTTGTTTAAGTTGGTTAAACAGATAGAAGGTTTCGAGACGAAACTCTAGGCGCTTGAATCGCCTGATTTCGATAAACGAGCGAAAAGTTATACTAAAAAGAAAATCGGATCAGGAATCGCGATCAGAAAAATCATGGATTTAATCCGAGAAAAAGAAAAACAACGAACGTTCGCTAGAACGAACGAACGGACGAACGCTCGCTATTTAAATAAACCGGAAAAACTGATCTATTAAAAAAAACGAATCTAAAAAAATCGACAGAAAAACCGGACGGTTTTTCTAAAGAAAAAATTAATAAAAAACGGTGCGGAAAACGAGGTGGCGGCGGACCTCGGGCGGCGTGCGGCGGCGGCGGCGTCCGGCGGCGGCGGCGGGGCGGCGGCGGTGGCTTGGGGCGGCTGGGGCTGGCTAGGGTTTTTGGCTGGGCCTCCCCCGGCTATATATAGCCTAACGGGCCGGGAGTCCTAGTCGGACACGGCCCTAGGTTGGTTCGTTTTTTTTAAATAATTACGCGCAGAAGAAAAATAAAAAGAAATACTTAACGGACTCCAAAAATTCCGAAATAAATTTTCACGGGCTTCTAAAATCAAGCCGCACAAGGTGAACATTTATTTGGGCCTAAATGCAATTTTAAAGAAACGCACATTTTTCCTAAGTTCAAATAAAATAACGAAAAACTCCGAAATAAAATCTTATTTGATTTTATTATTAAATCCTCAATATTTCTTTATTTTGGGAAAGTCATTTTATTCCCTCTCATATTTTTGTAATAGAAATAATTGATGATAAAATAAATGAAATCAAATGATCCTATTCTCAAAATTTGAGAAAACTCAAATATGAAAATAATGAATTCCCCAACTCTCTCCGTGGGTCCTTGAGTTGCGTAGAAATTCTAAGATCAAAACCAATCACAAATAAAATATGATATGCAATGATGATCTAATGTATAACATTCCAAATTGAAAATTTGGGATGTTACAATCTTATATGCATTTATTCTCTCTGATACTTTGTCCGGTGGCTATGCTACAACATATCCTTGCAGCAAGTCAAACCATTATTTTAAAATAGTATAAATGTACAGTAAGGCAAAGACTTGGTGTGCAGCAAGTGAAAGCATTAATTTTCTAGAGAATTTTTTAATAAAGTAATCCCATGATTCTTCCAGTTCCAGGAAAATACGGCCCGTGAGTTGAAAAGAGACCTATCCAAAGTCACTGAAATATTTACCAATCAAGTACACTCACTAGAAGGAAAAATCAGTCAACTCATGTCAGAGAAGGTATGGGAAACCCAGGATAGTTCTTCTCTATGTAACATTTTTCGTTTCTTCAAAAAATATGTTTGTTCAGTTTTTTCAAAATTACAAAATATCTCTAAAAAAGTATTTATTTTCCCACAATTTCTTGTAGGAATTGATGTATAAAGAATTGAAATCTGCACAAGCAAAGGTGCAAGATGAAGCAAGGCATAGGCAGAGCCTTGAGGCTGAAGTTGTAAGGTTGAAACGATCTAAGACTGATAATTGTGCTGAAGAGGTACCATTCTTTTATTATAACTCAGAGGTCCTCATTCTTGTTTTATAATCACACTTATGTACATTTCTCTTTGACAGTCTAAAACATTATGTGGTATGGTTAGATCAGGATCTGGATTAGGTAGTGAGGCATTTATGTCTAAATCAGGGAATTTTAAAGAGACCCTAGCAAGTCAGAGAGGTACCATTTCAAAGATATTTGAAGAAGGTATTTTTACATGGAAGAATACCAGTGCAGCTGTTTTTCTTTCTTGGGATACCATCTCTTGATTTTGATTTTGTTCCAATTGGCATTCAGTTGGTCTTCCAAATGTCCTGGCTCTGCTGAAGTCTGAAGAGCTAGAGGTTCAGATTCATGCTGTCAAAGTGGTTGCTAATCTTGCTGCTGAAGGTCTGACGGTTACCATTCTCTATGTATAAAAAACTGTTGCTGTATGCATTTGCACAGTTTTCTAGTTTAGAATTTTGTTATTTATTGAAGTAGCATGGGCTACCCTCCCCCTACCTTTTACAAGAAAGGCTATCATAATCTGAATCTCATATTTATCTCGCTTTTAATATTTTGTTTTTTCCTCAAGAAATCATGAAAAGATTTTTTTTCCATGTCCTTCAATTTGAGCTGCAGATATTAACCAGGAAAAAATCGTCGAGGAAGGAGGGTTGGATGCACTTCTGTCACTCCTGGAAACATCAGAAAATACCACAATTCATCGAGCCACTGCTGGTGCCATTGCTAACTTGGCAATGAATGGTACTTAATCTATTCCCATTGCGTATAATTCTTTTTTCCCAAACAGATTATTAATTAGATTGCTGGCTCACTGCTCTTCTGATATTAGTACCATGGCAAATGGTTGTTAATACCTGTCTGTTTAACTGTTTGTTGGAGTGTCACTCCCACCACCCCACCCGTACCAATAAACAGATGTGCTCACAAATTTATTCCAAACTTCTTAGTCTTGTTTTGTAGCCAGCTAAACTACCTCGTAGTTTCTAGCTCTTGCGTTATGTAATGTTATGTATTTGAATTTTATCTCCATTACGGAGAATGTTCCAATCAAAATTAATACATCGTCGCTTATAGAGCCTGAAGTGACCGTAACTTATTTCATTACCATTCTAATCTTTGTTTTTGCAGTTTCAAACCAGGCACTTATAATGAACAAAGGAGGAGCTCAACTATTAGCAAATATTGCATCCAAAACTGATGATCCTCAAACTATGCGGATGGTAGCTGGTGCAATTGCCAACTTATGTGGAAATGGTACTGATTCATATAGTTACGATATCCAGTATGTTTTGAATAGTATTCAGTTTATCTAAATTTATTCTATTGAACCTGGAATCTAACATGAGATGAACCTGAGCCATCACAATTTTTATTCGCAATAAACGTCTCCCAAATTGATCGACCGTAAACAAATACCAGAGTAACATTCCTGGCCATGTCTAACAAATGAAAACATGTGACTTATTCTATGTGTGTTTTTTTCCCAGAAAAGTGGCACGCAATGTTGAAACAAGATGGTGGAATAAAAGCGCTCCTGGGAATGTTTCAAACTGGACATACCGATGTCATAGCTCAGATAGCACGAGGACTAGCGAACTTTGCAAAATGTGAATCCCGAGTAATAAGCCAAGGTTTGTGATCTGTTCATATTGAGCTCAGTATGGTTGCATTAATTATTAGCTTTATAAGTGTAGAACTATACCAACAAAAGGAAAATCAAAGCAAAGAAAATTGTTAGCACTCACATACTAATATGTTATGACCTAACAATTATATCCATTCATAGTTCACAACCTTCTGATGTCACATCTGCTTCATTGGATATTATGGAAAAACACCTGTGCCGTCTTGCCGTCTTCTCTGAAGATATATGCAGACTTGAACATATCAAACTCGTGTACTAGAACACTTGTTGTTTGTGAAGATTCAATCAATGATATTGTGGTATGCTACTCAAAATAGGTCACAAGAAAGGGAGATCCCTTCTCATTGAAGATGGCATCCTTAGTTGGATCATGGCCAATTCAACCATGTTTCCTCCTTCAACGCGAAGACATATCGAGCTAGCATTCTGCCATCTAGCTCAAAATGGTACGTAGCACTGGGGCTCACCTTTTACCTTTGTGCTTTGTATTAGCTGGGTCCTTAATGGAGATTGTCGATGTTGTACGCCATGTGATATCAAGTGTCTGCACTCACTTTTGCAGTGGAAAACTCCCGTGATATCATCATAACTGGAGGGATTAAGGAGCTCCTTCGCATATCAAGAGAGTCTTCAAGAGACGACGCCCGTACCCTGGCGAAAAAAGCACTAAATTCGAACCCAGCTTTCTTGAAGGAGATACAATGATTCTCATTTTCATATTTACACTTGACACATGATGTACCAGTCATACTTAGCTTGAGTAGCTGGATACTATTACTAGGGTCTAGGTATTGAAATCTATAGAAAACATTTGATCAAGCTATTATTCTAAGTGGTAAATGCATTTTTTTTATTCAGCGATCTATTCTTGTGGCTTGATGGACCTCTTGCATCAACTCCGATGCAGCTAGAAAACACACAAGCATTGTTTCAGGAGCAACTTTTATCATTGTTACCTGGTTTCATCAGATCCAATGACTAGGGTGGTTAGGTG